CTCCTCCGGCCTGTGCGGTTCCGCGTCCCCAAGCCCAGGTTCGTTCTTTCTTACCCCCTGGCCGCTTCCCTTCATGACCCACCACCTGCCGGTTTTCCCTCTACGTTTAGGGTTCTTTCCGTCGCAAGGACAGGAGAGTCAGGCCAAACGCGCGCCAACGATACAGCCCCGCACGATACGGCCTCGCGTGTTCAGGATTATTAGCCCGGCTCAGATTATTAATAAAGAGGCTGGCGTCCCTGAAGGGCGCTGGAAGGTTCCCTGGCCGAGAGGCCTGGCGGGGAGGCCCGCGCCAGCACCCGGATCCGGTTTCGTTCCCTCTCTCCCCTTACTCGTCTGCGCGCTCGGTTTCACCTTAAGGCTCCCCTCTTGTTTCCACGATGGTGACACCGTGTGGCCAGTGGCTCTGGCTGGTCACCTAGAGGCCACCTTTGGCTCCCCTTCCCTTCCCACCTCACATTGAATCCGCAGCTGTTTCTTCAAAACACATCTCGAATCCAGCGAGGGAGGACCCCAGAAAGGGAGCGTCAGTCAGACTTGGTGACGCTGGAGAGAGGGAAGCTGAGCCAGAGGTGAACGCCCCGTCTCCCGGGGAAGGGGAGGAGGGGGCGCCTGGTCAGAAACGGGGACACCAGGGCGCTGGGGAGAGCGTAGCAGGGGCATGTCCCCCGATGCTCGCGGGCGGGCGCCTCCTGCCCCCCGAGGGAGGCCCTCCCGAGGGCGTGCCATCCACCACGTCGGTTTGCTTTGGTTTTGTACAACTGTAACGTGGATCCCACGAGAAGACTGTTTTCACCGTTACAGATGTGAAACCGATAATTTTCTTTTAACGTGCAAATATAATAGAAGCTCCCGTTTTTCGTTCCTTTCCCCGCAAAGCCGAAAGCGGTGTTCACTCGCCCTGGAGATTTCCATTCTCATTGTGTTCTGACGTGACGTTCCCTTTCATTAATCCCTTCCAGCTAAGCAAGATTTAATTAAAACCATCTCACACGGTGGCAGCCGTCGACGGATCTAAAACAGGCGCTCGCGGAAGCTCAGCCGCCAGTCTCCTGTTCCAGGCGAAGTGGAGCTCTTACATCTGGTGGGCTCTTTCTTGAATTCCTAATGGCTTCTGCCCCATTGATTTTGGAGAACAGCGAATCCTTTGCGCGAAGTAGTCTCCGTGTATTCACGGGGGACGTGTTCCAAGACCCCCCAGGGGACACCTGGAGCCTCGGGTAATGCCCAGCCCTGAATGCAGGTGCCCTGGCTTTTCGGATACGCGCAGGCCTGTGATAAAGTCCCGTTTATCCATCAGCCGTAGGAACAGACTAACGACAGTAACTGACAGCAAAGACCAATTACGACAATACGCTAACGAAGGTTACGTGAAGGTCGTCTCTCCCGAAACCTCTGACCGTCTGTCCTGCGCTCAGCCTTCCCGTGGGGTGGGAGCTGCCGAACCGCCCTCGGTCGGGAACCTTCGCCTTCCCGCTTTGTGCCTCTCTGCAAATCCGAGTGGCCAGCACCTTGGGCCGTGACTCGGTAAAATAAGGGAGACCTGAACGCAGCCCGGCGACACCCGGGCGGGTGATCTGACGACCGAGGCGGCTCCTGCGTGGCCGAGGGGCGGGGGCCGAGGGGC